TGATATCATGAATGGATCAATGTTAGACCACCATTGAAAACCTGGAAGCATCAATTTATAGTCAACAATCTCCACAACCCTATACTGATTAACATTGTTTTAACAGATTTTTAGGATCTGGAAAGAAATCGACAAGTGTTTCGTTCTGCTGGTACATCATTTGGGACTGATTTCTCATTTTTCAACATTCTTTTATTTCTACTTTTTCTGAGTTTCCTCTTTTAGATTGTCCATACACATATCCTACGAATGATAAACCTTACAGATGATTCTTGATATGCTTTCACATCTATTGTTCTTTATTTGATTACTTTTATATCGTCTCTAAATTTGATCAAAACTTTTACATCAAACTGATGTAAAGTATGTAAATCGGTGTCAAAATAACTGTAATCATATCATACTATTACAGTTGTTATTTCTGTTTAACCATTACGGTTATGATGTATGTTAGCAACTTGAATAAGACTTATCAATAATGTACGTTTGGTCCCAAACAATTATGAATTCAGAACATATATACTGTTTAGTAATGTATTTAAAGGATTTCGTTAACATGGTATAATTTAATCAGTTTTTAATATAATCTAATCATCAACCGATATACAACTGTAGAGCCTATACCCATTAAAAACTTAGTCGATTCATTATCGAGTTGAATACTAAAGGTTGTCAAACAACATGCTGGAGCCTGAGCTTGGAGAACAACAAGACCGAAAGTACGAACCTGCATTTTTTGATAGAGAAGACTTGTGAGCAATGTTAAGCTCTTTTTTGATTGAAATGTGGCAGTGATTATGATCGAATTTCAGGTGAATAAATTTATTCCATCACAATCAACGTAGAGCCTGGCACAAACGTTTGTTAGTGTAAGTTGCTATATTATATAAGCACGAAGAGATGAAATTCATAAGATGAAGGAGGAGTCATAGTAATGCAGTGGCGATGGTAATCAAAAAGACTAAGGATTTAGAACATGGTGCCAAAAATAAAGAGAAAATATATGTATCAAATACTGGAGTCTAAGACCTAGATGAAGATAAATAGTGAATACATCAGCGCCGCTACGACAAATTACAAACTACGTAGCCCAGCATCACCAACTATAGTTTACGACAATCGCCCTAACCACAACTAGATATCATGAATCTATCGACATGGTTTGGGTCGACGGTTAAGGAGTTCTCAGACAGATGTCACGTTTTGGTTTGGCCTCCCCTTTAGCAGAAGAAATTACTGATAACGTACTAGCCACGAGACATGTATCCAAAATTTTATTAATTCGAAAACATTCAGTAATAATGGTTGTCAGAACAGAGTATCACCCTCTGCATTTCTCTGAATGACATTACTCTGAAGATCGATCAAATGAAACCCAACAGTCTGCTATAAATAATTTGTTATTTAGCGAAATCATCCACAGTAATTAACGAGTAACTGGTTCATTCTCGCTAGTGTCAGCTTCTATTGGAACTTATCCTCAAAACCAGGACATTCTCGGTAATAAAACGTTAGTCAGAAGAAACTCAAACAAACCGACTTAAAGTTAAAAACTTGAAATGTCTTAAAAAACTTAGTTTATAAACTATTAAGATGCTTGAAAACATCCTATTTCATGCACAAACTAATCATGAAAGTTGACCGTTTAAATTGAATATTTCTACTGATTTACTTTACAGTACTAAATTCATATTGCTTGTTAAACGTTTATCTGAAATGTCCCAGTAGTTATATACTTTAAAAGATTGTTGAGACATGAAATAACAGTAAAGAATTCAAATACACTATACGAAGTAAATGTAACTAAATGAATAACTTGTATGGTTTATCCAATAAATGCGCGAACTAAGTTACTGAGGTTGGAATCAATGAAACAGTTAAGGGAATAAAGTTTATAGAATGGTACTGGCTATTCTCAAGACAAAGCATTCTGGAAAACAACTTTTTTTAAATGGTTCATACACTAAAGTGAGATTATTGTAGACTGCAAGGATAATATAAGGATTGAACGTCGGTCGACTTACTGTGTTGATGAAAACATCCATGTGATTTAATGCCAAAATTATCAAGAACCAGCCTGATAAATCTCGTCTGTGAACTCTGTTTCCTCAAAACACATGCTGGAGCGACGTAATAATTAGCAACATGGGAGGTGAGAGTTGTGAGTCTAGGTGTACTACTCTGAGTAAACAAATTATTCAACTAGCTAAGATCACTATCAGTATGACTCTCTTTGGACCAGTTCGGTAAATTATATATTCGCATGAATTTTATACATTATTATCCGGTTACTAGTAATAAAACTTCACACTTAAACGATAGTTTCGTCCTTTTGGGTTTTCTGAACAATCATATTTAACATATAGATTTTCTCCAACCAAACATAATGAATGTATTATTCTCATTCTTTGAAAATATATCAGTAATTAGTTTAAATTAACAGGAATATATGACACAATCAATTAATGATCAGAATGGGGTTTTTAATAGTTGAATTGATGAATCAATGTAAGCTAGTCCACTACTGAAAACCTGGAATCACTGAATGGCCGTTTCATCCTAGTATGGCGGTATTCAATATGGTTTAGCTTACATCTCCTCATGAATTCAACTATTAACAATCAGTTAAATCACGTAAATATAAAACAAATCTCTTATAATTCACTTGGTATTGTTTTACTTGAATCTTCTCATTGATGTTTTAGGACTGAAATTGATCAGTCTCTTATTGGGATATGTGCATACTGTGCGTATGCCTCGATAATGCCTTAATTTACAAGCATTGTAAGCAAAGATGGATAGTGGCTAGCAGTGGAATCCAGGATGCGCGTTTAGTCCTGTTTGGGACTAGTCAGCTGAATGTACCTGCATCTCAGAGTTGATGTGAATTAAACTTCACCCCATCCCACAAGCAAGTGGCTATCAGGACTCAGTAGCTGTGTGGATAATGCGATGGTGTTTGAAGCGAACGGTACTGAGTTCGAGTCCAAGAGTGAACATCAACTCTGAGATGCAAGTACATCCAGCTGACGAGTCCCAAACAGGACGAAACGCGCCTCCTGGATTCCACTGCTAGCCACTATCCATCTCTGCTTATAAATCTCTTATAAGTTTTAGTTATATATTATTTTCTGCACTATTTTAACTCTGTTGTGATTCGAAAAATAACTCCGCCTGTAACTCTTCTAGAGTTACTTCCGGTTCCAATTCTGAGTAAAGGAGGAGGGTTGAGCATGGGGTTACAAACCCTATCCTGTAGAAAAAAATCTTGCTAAGAGAACACCAACCAGTATGATTGGAAAATGTTTATGACTATTTCGATTTAAGTAGTGACTTAATTAAATTCGTTTTGTAAAATAGTTAACGGCTATAATAGTTTTGAAGAAACTTTATGTATTATTCATACTGTTTAGTTCGAATAAGTCGGTAAAATGATTTAACATATTTGAATATGACTTTAGTACTCGGATATATTTCTTAAACAAACGGTACTGATGTTTTCCTCCTTATCTTCATGACCTTAGTAAACACAATTGAATTTTCATTTTCTTTAAAAATACATTTATATGTTGGCATCATTCATTGTATCCTAGTATAGAAATTCACAGAAGTGGTCTCCAAACAAATATTCAACTATACATAGAAACAAATCTAATGACAAATTAATAACAATTAAAAATGTGGATGACTTCATTCCAACTCAGTAATCTGAAGAGCACATACTAATCGGATTGCCTAAAAGTCTTGAGCTTAATCCAGTATGAGACAGTTGAACTCCAATGGCCACGACATTTCACTAGAACTCCAGGAAATACATTATGAAGCCAGTCACTAGTAAGCACATAATGATTATTATAAGAAGAGGGTTTTGTGGAGACTTGAGTAATTTAACAGCTGAAGTCATGAGTCAATCCCACGAGCGGGATCGTGGATGCTCACTGCTGATGAGTCCCAAAATAGGACGAAACGGCCGTCCAGATTTCCCATGGTGGTTTAGCTTTAAGTGACTCATGAATTCAATTATTAGATTTAAGCACAAACATGATTTGCACTTACCAAAAATTTTTACCATATAATCACACCTAATAATTATGCAAAAATAAATTCTAAATGATTTTTGTCATCTGACTTCATTAGTCAAAGAGACAATTAAAACTAGAGGACAATATAACGACTGAAATATTTACATACTTACTGGCTTCAAGAGGTATATCCTGGAGTTCCAGGTAGAAGCAGTGACCAGTGGAGTTTAACCGCACCTGTTGTGAGATAGTAACTCACTGAAGACAATGGTGGATGTGTCGCTCAATTTCATGAATTAGTTGAAGTTAAACATTAACACATTTGGATGCCTTAGCAGTGGTTTAGATGGTAAGTGCTCACGCGCAAGACAGATAGGTCTTGGGTTCGAACCTTGTGAGACGGGATCGTGGGTGCACACTTTTGAGGAGTCTCATACTAGGACGAAACGGCTGCCCAGTGCTTTCATGTTTTCCATGATGGTCTAGCTTCAATTGACGCATGATCTCAACTATTGAAATTACTATAATATCCACAAAAAAAGCCCTTCTGATATCACCCTTATTAAACGTTCGGTTTAATGAGAATAACTAAAGATTTACTTCAGAGAAATGGTACAACGTATGTTAAGTGAAATCTTGTCAGTACTTCTGACTTGTACTCACATCACCAAGAGAAGAAAAATCTTCTGATTAATATCTTTATAACCCTGTTTATCTAGATCATTTATTCAAAGTTAATGATCTTTCTGTTTTCAGATTTATGTCATAAATACATCAGTCTGTAGATGGAAGCATTAATTAACCCGCAAACTTTTCAAGAGAAACTTTAACACGTTACTATCGTTCTACAAGAATATCTAAACCATACTTGAATAATAACTAGAATATAATCTATTGTTACATATTTCATATATATATAATCGTTCCTATTCGATTGTCAATAACTTCGATAAGATTTTAGTCTTTAAACGTCAATATCCCTACTCACATAACTTCACCATCTTATTCCATGAAAAAAAAGGTGCTAGTAACTAAATGGAAATAACACTATTGTTATTTATATTTGTTATTTCATAACAATAAAATCTATACCTTTGCAACTAAACAGTATTATCCAAGAAATTACTATCCAACCATATACAGTTATTGAATTGTAAAAAGAAAAGAAAAAAAAGACCAAAACAAAACAAGCAACAATATTAATATCAGTTAGAAATCATTGGTATTAGTTAGTAATTTCAGTCAATTAAAAATAGAACAAGACCAAATAAAAATGTGTGTAAAAGTGTTGGGGAGAAGAAAACCACAAACATACACACGCGCACACACACAAAAAAAGAAACAAAAAGTAAGTGACTGTTAATTTATTTACACCGTTTTGTTTTCTTCTTTTAGTTGTTGGCTAATTTACTGTAGTTGTAATGAATTAGGTAATGTATTAGGTGATAAGGATCATTTGTAACATTCGATAGTAACAATGATAATAATAATAATAATGTAGATTACCAAGCATGATGATAATGATTGGAATAATCAATTCAATGTTCCATTTCGATTGATTGTACAGAAGATAAACAAACTGTGAAATCATTCAAAATAAATAGTCTATTACAATGTATTTATATATGGATTATTTATTCACTATGTACATATGAGAATCATTGTTTACTCATAAGAATAAGAATAATAAAGAAAATTTTACAAAAGAATCAATGAATTTCAGTTAGTTTATCAATCTTTATCATTCTTTCAATGATAATCAATTGAAAGTAATCTATCAATAAATAGTGTAATTTAGAAAATACAATCATATACACTATCTATTAGTGATTTCCATATTTATAAATTGACAATGAAGTGTAGAAACACCCCCTGGTAACCGAATCGAAAAAACAACAAAAATATGCCGTTAATCAGTTGATTATTATTATTAAATGTTTGATTCTTCTTTTAATAACATACCACCACCCCCTCTTCACCAGTGTATAAATATATATATTCTTATGTATCTATAAATATATAAACAAATCTTAGAAAATAGTTTCCCTTCAGAAAGACATTGTGTAATCGACAGATTATATGTGTACACGGTTGTTTGTTTGTTTGTTTGTTTTCCCGATGATTCAAGAAAAAAAAACGAATATACGAAACAATAGAAAGCAACATTTTTTTTCCTTCATAGTCACTATCCCAACTCACCTGATTAATAATGAGCAAATCATTTAATTGTGTAAATCTCCTTTTAAGTGTATTATTTCATAGGATCTAATTTGTGTTATATCTCAATCTATGAGGAACAACTGCATGTATATGTGTGTATATATGTTCTTTTATTGTTTTCTCATTTTACTACTGTGATTGTGGATAAATAAATAATTGATCATTCATATTATTATTACATTCTGTGATCGAGTTCATATTTCTTGAACGCATAAAAATATTAGGAATTAATGATGTATTCATTGTTTCTACCATTGATGGTATTGTTGTTGTTGTTGTTGTTGTTGTTGTCGATGTTGTTGTTACTATCATTGTTGTTAATTGTTCAGTAGTATATCCATTTAAATTTATATTCATATTACTTGTATTCATCATTTGATCTTCTATACAATTTGAAATTATATTTAAATCATTTAATAAATTATTTCTAATCATATTCTCATCTTGATATGTGGATATTTCAGTTATATCATGATTATTCAATGATGTTGTTGTTGTTGACATCTCCTCTAATCGTTGATTGTAATTTACTAAATCTGATATATTACTATTATTGTGGAATGGAGATGGGATACCAATGGATGAGTTTACACTAACATGATTTGGATTAAAATTTAAATTAGATGATAAAAATGAATTATTATTATTATTATTATTATTATTATTATTATTATTAGTTATTGATTGTTCTGTCGTTAAATAATCTACCATTGAATTATTGATTGAATGATTTTCAATAAGTGATCCACATGAATCATATAATAAATTATTAGTAGTATGATTATTAGTAGTATTAGAATGTGTATTCAATAATCTTAATGGTAAATTAAATGATTCATTAATTAATTTATTTTCAGTTATATTTTCATTATCTGTAATTACATATGGATATTTTTGTAAAATATAATCTGTACGTAATAAATGTTGTGATGTATCATGAAACGATATATTATGTAATAATGAATTATGATGAATACCATTATTACTATTATTATTATTATTACAATAATTAGGATAGTTAGAAGGGAATAATTGATTGGAATTACTTACATGAAATGTAGAATGTAATGAAGGTAGTAACGATGACGGTATTACTCCTGGTGTTGTTGTTGTTGTTGTTGTTGGTGGTGGTGGTGGTGATGATGATGATGATGAATAGGGGGTCATTCCGTATAAATTATGAAGAGAATTATTTAATGATTGATCATTAGTATAATTACAATTAAAATTTATAGGAGTAAGAGATTGATTCAAACGACGTTTAGTACGTTTTATTGAATTATTTCGGAATGATTGATTACTACATATATCAGAATTGTTTTCATTTTCAAATAAACTATGTTCATTTTCTAGAATCTTCTCTGATTTTCTATAGTTTATATCATTATTCATTTCATTTTGTAAATATTTTTTATCTTCAACATGATCAGCAGTAGTTTGTTTTTCTTTCATAATAATATCAGGATGTTTCTCATCATTCTTGATGTTACCATTACATATCTTATGTTTGTTGTTGTCATCTCCTTCATCGTCTTCTTCGTCATCTTCATCCTCCTCCTCCTCCTCCTCCTCCTCATCATCATCATCATCGTCATCTTCATAACTATCATCATTATTTTCACTTCTACAAGTACTATCTTCATTTGAATCAAATGCTGAACCAAGTAATAAAGGATTTAAACGTTTTTGTTTTTGTCGTCTATTACAAAACCAAACACGTACAACTTCTTTTTCTAAACCTAATACATCAGCTAATTGTATAATATCTTGTGCTAATGGTTTTGGTTGTTTAATAAAATGATTTTCTAATATACCTTTTACACCAATTTCAATACTTGTACGCTTTTTACGTTTACGTCCTTGTGTTGTAATTTTATCAAGATTATTTGTAGTACCAGTTGAACAATCAGCTTCATGTAACCATTTTTGTAATAATGGTTTTAATTTACACATATTTTTAAATGATAATTGTAATGCTTCAAAACGACATATAGTTGTTTGACTAAATACATTACCATATAATGTACCTAATGCTAAACCAACATCAGCTTGTGTATAACCTAATTTAATTCTACGTTGTTTAAACATTTTAGCAAATATTTCTAAATCATCAGCTGATGGATAATCACCAGTTCCAGGAATTATTGTATTACTATTATTGTTATGGTTACTATTATTATTATTATTATTATTATTATTATCATTTGTAATTGTATTGTTATTATGATTATTATTTCCAAGGTTAGTTGTATGCATTGTTTCATCAATTCTATTATTTTGAAAATAATCCATTCCATTCATAGTTGTTAACGATTCATTGAATCCATGAACTTTTGATAAAATACATGTTGAAGATGGTGAACATGATTCTGTCATATTAATAAATTCATCTGATGTTATATTTGGTTGATATTTTCCTATGGATGGAAGTAATTTACATGATGAATGAATGGATGCATTTATTGTCGATGTTGTATGTGTAAGAGAAGAAATTGATGATAAAGATGAATTTGATGGTAATGTTAATTGTTGTAACATTCCACTGAATATACTTGATGATGATAAAGAAGAAGAAGAAGAAGAAGACGACGAAGAGGATGATGAAATTGGTATGATTGATATTGAAGAATCAACTGATATATGATCATTTAATCTAGGAGTTGATTCTGATATGGAACTGATATGACAAACAACATTATTATTATTATTATCAGTATTATTATTATTTGTAAAATCTGCTGAGTTTTGATTATATACTAATGAATCAAACAAACATGATGAAGATTCAATTACATTTGGATTGATATGTAAAAGTGTGTTAAAATGGTGCTCATCATATGGATGTAGATTTGATTTTTCATTTACAATTGTATTTATATTATTATTATTATTATTAAATCCAATACTACTCGTTACTATATCCATTGAAGCGGGTTGTATACCATTATTATTATTACTATTACTATTATATACATTCATTAATTCACTAACATGATTCATAAACATCATATTAGAAGATTTTAATTCATGTTTATGAAGTAAGGATTCCTTGATTGAATCTGAATGAGAAATATTACTTATGGAATTGGTCGAAGTCAATAGATTAATTTGTTGATTATATTGATCTGATTCATGTTCGTTTTGATGATGACGTTCTTGTTGTTGCCAGTATACAGATTGTTGAATAGGATTCATATATGTCGGTAAATAAGATTCATTAACAGGGGAATCGAAATAATCTGTCTTATTTATATGACTATTAGAAGTTTCATTGTTGAAATTAATCCCACTCTTGTGTATCAATGAATCTGTTAATGGTGTAGTTTGTGATAAACTAGGCAATGATGTTGTAATTGATGATCCCCTAGAAAATGTATTAAAATTATTTGAGAATTCATCTGGAATTATTTTTATCTGTTCAGCATCTACACTTGAGTTAGAAATATTATTTGTATCTAATATCTGACCTACATTATTTATACTATTCATTGTAAATAAGTTTGGATTTGAACGGATTGCAAACTCAGATAAACTATTATCATTGGACGTCGAATAATGCAGTAATTTTTCGGAGGGTTTCACATATGTTTTAATTCTATTTAGATCTGTTGTTGAATTAGGAAATGAATCAGAATTATTAACATAAGATAAATTCATTGAATGATATAAAGCATCACTCCTCTGATCAATATCTTCTTCTATATTCCTTTGTTGTATACTATGCATTTTTATTTTCTCATAATAATTCCCATGTTGTTTTATTATCATCTCTGAGAAATTATTTTCTTGTAAATTTATTATAGACTGTTTCGTCTTATTTTCACGGGTTTCATCAATAGAATTACAATGAATTAAGTTACTATGTGAATCATTTTGTTTATGTGGGACCAATTCTTGATTATAGACTCTGGTTGATAAGATATTTTCATTAGTCTCTAGATAATCTTGAGTGGTACTTACTTGATGCCGATTGTCAACATCAAAATATTCATTATTATTACTATTAGGATTACAATTAGTTTCATGTTTAGTTATTTCATCATTTTTCCATTTCATTAATAAATCAGTATCATATTGTGAATGTTCAACAGTATTTTCACAATTTCTTGATTCAATATATAAAGGCATAATATCGGTATTTTGTAAATTATAATTACTTGAATTTGAAGATGGTGAAAACCTACAGTAATTTGTTAATTGATCATTATTACATAATGGATTGTAATCTCTTCGACCTATACTATTAGGTAACCAATGTATATTATCAGTGATCATATTAGAATGAGTCAAATTCTCCATAGTAGTCATATTATGACTATAAGTTATATCAGTAGTATGATTCAATGTATTACTGTTATTCATAATATTCGATTTTAAAAGATGTTGTGATAATGATGTTGTAGTTATTAGATCTGAATGATTTATTAATAATGATAATTCATGTGGTTTTAGTAGTTTCTCATCATGATTATTATTATTATTATTATTATTATTATTATTATTATTAAGATCATTTGACCATGTTATTGGTTGTTGATCCCGATTGTTGTCACAAGATGGTAGATCAACTATAGTTTTCGTAGGATTTGTAAATATTCCTTGATTTTTTATAGTAGATTTATAACGATTCCGTAATCCTGTAGTACGTTTATTACTTTTATGTAATATTTGTAACTCTTTAGTTGGATAATGAATATGGGTTGTGTTATTATGATGATGATGATGATGATGATGATTGGGAGTGATAGTCATTGTTGTAGTTATTATTGAAGAATTTGAATTCGTTGTAATAATATTGTCTGATTTAAAATTATGCAATGAATTTGTTAATGCAAATAAAGGTGAATAGTCACAGGCTAATGAACATGCGCTTTCCAATAAAGATAATGGATTTAATTCATTTGTATTATCAAATTGATCATTAATATTAATAGTATTATTATTTATCATATTTGATTGATCTGAAAGTGTATTGGTAAATGGAAGACTTTTCGTAACATCAGTATTTGTTATTGCTGGTGTCGTTGTTGTTGTTGTTAATGGCCTTATTTTATTGAATGAATTCAATTGAGCATGATGTATTAATTTGTTATCCTCATTATAATAATCATAATCATTATTATCATTATTATTATTATTTTGTTCAATTAATCGATATGTGAATGATGAAGATACTGGCAATGTTAAAGACGATGATGATGATGATGTTGATTGGGATGACAATAATTCTTTATTTGTAATATTTAAATTAGTTTGATATGTTCCCATTAACAATGGATTCATTCAATAAAGCAGTAGATGTATATGTGTACATTGGCAATGATTTCATATGTCTATAGACATTGGTTAGTATATATGTGTATGTAAATACTGTATAGAAATTCTATACACAACAGACTGTTTAATCGATGGATAAATGTGAATAAATTATATAATACTGTAGATTTTCAATGAGAAATAAACTTGTAAGGTAGTGAAAAAGAATGTATATTAGAATTCTTAAATATATCTAACTACTACTATTACTACTATGTATTCGATCATAGGGTAGTAGTATTCTAATCCTTAAAAAGTATACAGGCAGTTACTGTCATGGGTAGGCAGTCAGGCAGACATGCAGGCTTATGTTAATTTATCATAAAATTACCCGACGTTATGTTTTTGTAATTAAAGTAGTAAGAGAAAATAAGAGTGAAAATATTTTTCAATGGTTATTTGATTGGATAAAAGTTTACTAAAGAATATCTAAAGATTATACTGGTCAATGAATTTACGCATATCATCAAATACGATATAACGAAGGGAGGTTGAAACACTATCATATAAACATTGAATACTAGACAGGGGAGGTAGAATAGAAACTTAATGTGTTTCCAATATTTCTATAATGAAATAAATAGAGGGATGAACGACCAAACCATCCAGCTCAGAGAACAAAACTCCACCAAAATAGAGGGATGAACGGATAGAGATTGTATGGAATAAGCGATAAATATTATAAGCTTAAGGATTATTGAACAAGATGCGAGATGATTAAATATATTATTAGTTGTAAATTACACACATACACAGAGAATAAGAAATGTAAAGAGAGTGAAAACATGGGGAAAAAAAATAAGAAAAAATCAATTTTATTTTATAGGTTGAACGTGAATTTAAACAAAAAAAACAAACAAACAGAATATTCCCTTAGAACAAACAGCTTGAGAGAAAAGGAGACAAAAATACTCAAGACTGGTTAACATGACGAAATTGATTTTAAGAAGAAAAAAAAAGAAGAGGGAAACAGAAGATTTGAACATTTCTTCATTGCTCTTCATTTTATATTGATCACCTTGATCTTAAAATTATTTTTGCCCAATTAATTTGTAAATGTATCCCAATATTATGTACGTATGTAAGTATTGATTATTAATTTGGTATTCGGTAAGATAGAATAAATAATTAGTTTGTTTATTCACAGATCGATGATTGAATGATGAGCAGAACAAATTCTATTGATCAGGTTATGATATGAACACTAGTCGAAGTAATTGAGTTTTGATGTAAGGTGGTTGGAGGTAATAGATTATAAGTACTAGTTATATTTGATATTAATTAAAACTCAATGATCAATTAACATAAATATCGATATCGTACAACAAGTCAATGCCAACCTCAATAGCTCACTAATCATGTCTCAAACTTTCAAACGGAGAAATATGAGTTTCAATCCTACTATAAGTATCAGTTCCTTCATTTCTGTTGAATACCAACTAGCATGAAATCTAGACTCGACATTTCATGTTAACTGCTCCCTTCCCACTAACTTATATCGAGTTTATTTGTATGCTATAAATTTTTGGTGGCTTTCACTTCATTTTAATGGAATAAAATTCTATATTATGATGCTTTGAAATGAAACAGTTTTAAATATGCAAATATCTACATCCTGAAGTCAAATATTAGTCACTGTTACTAGATGTTTTCACAATGCAGTTATGGTACCGGATAACAAATAAATTGATGGACAGTGATTAGTTAAACCAGTTCCGCTGATGGTCTATAATTATCCTGATTGTCAGAGATTTTGATGGAGTTTTGTTCTCTGAGCTGGATGGTTTCGTCGTGGAGCTTTCATTGTTATTCTAAATGACTTCATCAACACAAACTTCAGGTAGAAGTGAAATGCTCGAATATCTCCACATATAACCTACAACTTATCATGTCAACATCGATCTTGATTGACTGTCATTGACTTTTAACCTATCACTATATGTTTCTTTATTCTGATTGTACCTCTGTTTGATCTGATTCATGGTCCTGTATTAATATATGATTTTTCTGACTTGTTTATAGATTGGATCGCTTTCCATGTGTTTATTGATTACTGATTGAAAAATAAACAGAAATTCGCACACTTCACTTCTACTTGAAGTTTGTGCTGCCGATGTCATTTAGAAAAACGATGAAGGCTCAACGACCGAATCATCCCACTCACAGAACAAAACTCTACCCAGATCATCCACCTGAGCTTTAAATCTCCACAATCTCAGAGATTTACTTACAGTTCAAAAAAACGATTCGATTTTACAGACCTACCGTAAATAGTATAAAAAATTGAAGACCGATATTTTTATTTTTATTAAACAAAACCTAAATTTGTGTTTTGTTTTAATATTTGATGAACAGAATTATGACCGGAGCAGCAGATCATTTTAGTTAGATTAATCAATGTCTGTGTGATTACTTTCATCAGCATTTTATGTATAAGACGGTGATTGATAGTTATTCATCAGTCATCAAATTTTTGAAAAATAACTCATTTCTTAATTAGATAAAAATGTAGTTTTCACGAGTAAAATATTAAATTCACTTGGTTTTGTTTTACTCATATTTTCCGATTGTTATTTAGGATTGCAATTAATCAATCTCATATTGGTATATGTGCATCCTGTGCGGAATGTCTTAGTATTGTCCTAAGTCACAAGTATTATATGCAAAGATGGATGGTGGCTAACAATGGAATCTAGGATGTGCGTTTCGCTCCAGTAGCGACTCGTCGAGTGGGTATACCTGTATCCTTGTTTAAAAAGCTTGTGACTTAAGGCTATATTAAGGTAATCCACACAGAATGCACATATGCCAATATCAGACTGATTAATTGCAGTCCTAAACATTAATTAGAGGATTCAAACAAACAACAAAAGCTCACTCGACTGCACAAGCTAATGGCTATTAGGACTCAGTAGCTAAGTGGATAACGCGACGGCTGGGTTTGAGTCCCGGAGTAAACATCAACTCTGGGATGCAGGTGCATCCAGCCGACGAGCCCCAACTGGGACGAAACATGAGTCCTGGATCCTATTGCTAGCTACTCTCCATCTTTGCTTAATAAAATATTGTTTGTTTTATCCAAATAGTTTCTTAATATCGTGTTTGGTAATTAAACCATCCAACGTTTAACTATCAGAAACCGGGTTCAAATCTCTCTCTTTTACTTTTCTTCGAATAATATGTATCAACCCTCTTAGTAAACATCTATTCTTTGTAAATAATGAGCTGAGGGATGAGAATTATTTACCACTTCTGTATGCAAAAGTATACAATAGTTATACAATAATATCTAAACTAAGTTATTTAAAATAGAACAATTCCAAGTAAGAAATGATTTCATTAAATGAATCATCATTAAACACAATATAGAACATTAAAAGACTTTTTCTGTTACCAAAAATCAAATTACATTCTCTTTTTTTTTGTTTTTCAACGGACAACAGAATAAATGATCCATTTTGAAGTAAATTCCTTTTTCATATTCACCCCATTTTCTCATTGATGTAACAAAATCTCCCACCTGTACCATTGAAGTAGTTGATATTCTTGTCTCATTAAATGAGCACGATCATAGTAAATACAGTTAATGATTATTTTCTTATTCTCCATAACTATAGAAAGAAATCAAATAATGATAATAATAATAACAATAATAATAGAATAGAATTATGTATCGTAATGGACTTAATGAATCAACTTACAACCTTAACTATTCATTAAGACAACCTTAAAAATGAAACTGTTTTAGGAAATTAAAGCACTGATTATTGAGATGGTGGAGATTTGTAGCTCAGGTGGATGGTTTTGATGGAGTTTTGTTCTCTGAGTCGGATAGTTTGGTCGTGGAGCTTTCATCGTTCTTCTGAACGTCATCATTAGCACAAACTTCAGATAGAAGTGAAGTGTTCGAAAAGCTGAAATAAGTCCGAAAATTTCTCTGTAAATGAGTAGTTTCTCTTAAAAGTTAAAAAACATAAACATGCGATCTTATAATTGATAGCATAAAATAATTTGAAATTGTTTCGATTTCCCGATAGTGGGTAGTATGAGGAACCAAAACAGGCCTTCTATTTGAGATTCATTTTATTAATGACGCTTACACTGAGATTAGAACTCAATACTTATCGCTTCTAATACTAACATGTCATTATGACTCTACAGATTGATGGACAACGCGTTCGTACCAAAACTATAGACAGTGGATTCTAGTCTCAGTATGAACATCATCACTATTATACAGATGGATCCTAAATAGAACCAGATATTATTTCTGGATCCCACGATTACCTACAATTCATATATATATATATATATATATATATATATATATATATATATATATATATATATATATATATATATATATATATATATATATATATATATATACAGTTGAGATCATGACCCATGGAAAACCTGGGTCAGTTGTGAGATAGAAACTCACTGAAGACAATGGTAGATATGTCTCTCAATTTCGTTGGTTGGTTTAAGTTATGCATTAACACCATTGGATGCCGGCTCAGTGATCTAGTGGTTAAGCGCTCACGCGCGAGACTGATAGGTACTGGATTCGAATCTCGTGAGGCGGGATTGTGGATGCACACTGCTGAGGAGTCCCACAATAGGATGAAACGGCCGTCTAGTGCTTCCAGGTTTTCCATGATGGTCTAGCTTCAATTGACTTATAATTTCAACTATATCAAATTAGTTGTTTCGAGATTAATTAAAATTCAGTCCTAAATATCAACAATGGAATAATCCAAACTTTTTAGAATAATAAAATAATTTTCAGATTTATCATAAAAACACCGCAACAGTGATAAGTTACATTTATTGATCTTTAAAAATATACGTTTATATACCATGGTACTTTTATTTACATCAGATAATATTTATCTATTTACTTGGTTTTTTGATGGGTTTGTGTCCGTCAATAATAAGACTTGATTTCGGTTTAATTAATATTGATTTTAATTATCCTGACTGAATTTTGATCACTCTTAATCGATATTCGTCCATTCTAAGTGGATAACTTGAAAATAGCCATCATTAAATATATGAAAGGTGGTGGGATCCAAGACTCCGGTTTCGTCCTGTTTGGGACTCATCAGTCTAATGT